TACTACTACTACTACTACTACTACTACTACTACTACTACTACTACTACTACTACTATTATTATTATTATTTTATTATTATTATCATCTTCAAAGAAAAACAAGAAAGTCCAGTTGCCTCGTGAAAAAAGCACCTTTGGGACAACCTTGACTTGAATGACTGAGAATCTCCATAGACATTTTCTTTTCAGATGTATTGAATCAACTCTCCAAATCTCACGGGCACATTGGGTGGGATTATGGGAATTGCAGTCCAGCGCCTCTGGGAAACATCAAGTTGGGGAAAGATGTTCTGAGTTTAAGCAAATTATTACATGAAACAAATCTAATGAAGCTGGAAATATGCCTGTAGAACAGAAAGATGGAAACAAATGGTAGGTGGGTGGGGTCTTTTGAGATCATCCAAACAGAAGCAAAATTTGTTATTTGCTTGGTATTTAATTGTAAGTCCCCTTTTATTCAGTGTTAGCGTCTGTAAATTCAGCTAATGTTATTAACGTCAAAATGTATCAGCTTGGAAACATGAACCTGCCAATCAAAGCTACTTCAGTTGCTCCTCTCTCACTGCAGCTATTTCTGTATGAGAACTTTTCTTGCGGTTCCATCTGGATGGTGGGAAAGGGTCCTATGAGCAGAAGTGATTTAGTTGTTTTGTTAATTATATAATTTTCTTGAGTAATGAACATCATGTCACCTTAAATAAGATTCCCTTGCTGTAAGAAATAATTTTTGCTCTAGGATGGAAAACAGGCATGAGATGAAAATGTGGTGGTGAATTTACTATCACCATGAAAGAGAAGTGTATATAGTTTTCTCAGCTTAGTGATTAAATCATCCTAGTGATCCTAAAATATTTGTAATTTCATAGGTATGGATGTATAATGAGGATCATGAATTAATCTTAAATAACCTCCTGTGTTTGGATGTATCTGAAACACGCACATCCGATCCACCACGCCTTATGAAATGCCACGGCTCAGGAGGATCTCAGCAGTGGCTACTTGGGGTAAGTGAATTTGGCCAGGATAAATTTCAGTGTAGTGTAAAGATTGTTAAAAGTTTATATAAGCTTGAGAATTGGTTCTATTTGTGCATGGATGAGTTCCTGTTTACCCAAATTATTGTGAAAACTAGATATTCATGAGAATGCTTAGCTTAAACTTACTGGCCGTGGATCTTTCACAAGGCAAGGCGCCCCAATTAGAAACATGCCACATGGCCAAAAAAGGTTTTGTCCAGTTTGATGTTACGGAAAGCTTAAATCCTTGCCTTTCAGCACGATATATTTGATTTTTATCCCACCTTTATTATTTTACAAGTAATTCATGGTGAATATCCCTAATACTTTTTTCTCCTTCTATTTTCCCCACACAAATATCCTGTAATAATAATAATAATAATAATAATAATAATAATAATAATAATAATAATAATAATAATAATAATAATAATAATAATAATAATAATAATAATGGTAAAGTTGGAAGGGACCTTGGAGGTCATCTAGTCCAACCCCCTGCTCAGGCAGGAAACCCTATACCATTTCGGACAAATGGCTGTCCAGTCTCTTCTTAAAAACCTCCAGTGTTGGATCATTCACCACTTCTGGAGGCAGGTTGTTCCCCTGGTTAATGGTCCTCACTGTCAGGAAGTTTCTCCTTAGTTCTAAGTTGCTTCTCTCCTTGCTTAGTTTCCATCAGTTGCTTCTCGTACTGCCTTCAGGCGCCTTGGAGAATAGCTTGACTCACTCTTCTTTGGGGCAACCCCTGAGATATTGGAACACTGCTATCATGTCCCCCCTCGTCCTTCTCTTCATGAGAAGGACGAGGGGGGACATGAGTTGGACTGAGAAAGGATCTGGACCAAAATCAACCAGCTGGCTTTCATGCCTAAGATGGGACTAGAACTCACCATCTCCTGGTGTTTAGTCTGGTGCCCATTAATATCTATTAGGAGCAGAACAGTGCCAAAATACCTAGCCTTCATTCACTAATAGAAGTGGTCATGGTCTACATCTGGAATTGTGAAGTGGCAATTATCACATGGTATTTTAATTTTATTGGTAACTAATAAACTTATAGAAACAAAAATCTAGTTGAAGAATGAAAGTACTGTTAATCAAAACTGGGCCTTTCAAGACCAAATGGGTAGGTTTACATGGGCATAGGGGAAAGCATGGAATATATGTCTCAGATAGTTTTTTTATGCTGACAGGATTACTTCAAAGTAGTCTTTTTGATGAGCAAGTCATAGTTTATTAAGACTAATATGTGAAATCTATAGAGCCCTGGTAGTGCAGTGGTTAGAATGTAGTATTGCAGGCTAACTCTGCCCACAGCGTAGTGTTGTATCCTGTTGGATTCAAGATTGATTCAGCTTCCATCCTAGATTGTTGGGGGCAATATTCAAATAACGTATACATCGTAAGCTGCCCAGAGAGTGCTGTAAAGCACAATGGTGCAGTACATAAATCTAAGTTATTGCTGTTATTATTGCTATTAAAGGCACAGCTGGCACAGGAGCCCCCCAAGTAACCCTATCAGCCTGCCAAAAGGAATAACTTAGCTGCAAAAATAGGTTTGGAACCGTTTTATCTCACCTGCTTTGTTTCTCTCTGCAGAAAAACAATCGGCTGTATCAGGTGTCTGTTGGGCAGTGCATGAAGGTGGTTGATCCACTTAATCTCAAAGGCTACGTCACCATGGCCATTTGCGATGGCTCTTCCCTTCAGCAGTGGCGCTTGGAGAACTGAGTGCCGCCTCAAGGAATGCCCACTTGCACAGGGACTCTTAGCTTAGTACACTATTTTCTAAGGCTGGCAATCCTTGCTGCTATTTCTAACCCTGAACACTTACAGGAAATTATTTTAATGGTTAAAATCACAATGGACGACAATCTTCCAAGTGTGGAGCAGAAGCGGGTGCATTTCTTGCCCCTTCTTTCTGCAGGAGTAGAAGTGCAATGACATTACTTGGAGTTCAACAGTATATGGAAATACTCTGTGTCATAATTAGGACAATGTAATTTAATTAGTGGATGGATCTAATGAAGCGGGCCTAAATGGTCTGTCAGAAACCTATCGTGTTTTGCCAGTATTTCTTGCAGAATATTATGGTACTTTTTTCATTTGCATTTATGGCTGGAATTCTGGAAAAAAAGTATGTTTTAGCTTTGCCTTTCTTGTAAATAATTTTATTAATTTTAACCTACTTAAATGTCTCATTTATCATGTCCTGTAATATTTGAACCAGTTCAGGATGCCATTTTGATGACTCCAAAGACCAAGTAGCATTTGCCTGCTTCAGTGCAGCCCTCACCAAGGCTCCCTTGTGTGCCAGGAAGCCCATAGGGCAGTGGTGGCAAACCTTTTTGAGACCGAGTGCCCAAACTGCAACCCGAAACCACTTATGCATCACTGGGTGCCAGAGGCGTAGCCACCAAGTGGGCGAGGCCACCAAGTGGGTGTGGCTATGGTAGTCATGGTAGCATGGGTGGGCGTGGCCACCTCAATGTCGCTCCTGGGGAGGGATGCCTGGGGGGGGCGGGCAGGCAGGATTGGGGGAGATCCAGGGGTTCTCTGGTGGGTGGGGCAGTGGTAGGAGGCTCGTCCTGCAGGGTGAGGTGAGGCAAGGAAGAGGGCAGGGCAGGGGTGCCAATTGCCACGGGGCAAGGCAAGGCGAGGCAGGGGCTAGTTGCAGACAAAGGGGGGCTCCGATGAGGAGGAAGGGGGTTTAAGCAAGCTTAGCAACCAGAGTGGGGATCCCCCCCCAAACAAACGTGCTTCGTTGGTAACTCAAAGCACAACAGAAGAGACCAAAACTTGAAGCAACCACCCAGCAGATGGGAGGGAAATAAAAACCAAAAAGCCACCCCCTGGAGAGCTGCGCATGCACAGAGCGCAAAGAGCTGCACATGTGCAGAGAGCACGAAGCGCTGCGCATACGTGAAGAGGAGGAGGGAAGCAGCTCGGCCCAGCAATGGCTCACGTGCCAAGGACGGCTCCGCGTGCCGCCTGTGGCACGCGTGCCATAGGTTCGCCACCACGGCCATAGGGTGACTGTGGGAGTTGCAGCATTAAAACTTTGATTCTCAGAATTCCTCAGCTGGCATGTTGACTGGGGAATTCTGGGAGTTGAAGTGCAGACATCTTAAACTTGTTAAGGTTGAGAAATTCTGCATGAGAGGAAGAGGGGCAAAGGGTGGGTGGCATGACTTTTCGGTTCTTATAAAGCAGTTTGGAATTACACAGTATAAAACACTATTTTTAAAAAGTTTACAGATGGTCCTTGACGTGTGACTGTAATAGAGGCTGCCCATTATAGTTGTATGTTGTAACAGTTGTAAAACAATTTTATAACTTTTTTGCGGCAGTTGGTAAGCAAACCAGTGGTTCTCTACAGGCACATTTTTGCTGAAAATTGGATGTAAATGTCAGTTTTTGGCAAAACCATCATAAAACATGGTCAATTATTGTGGGATGCTGCAGATGGCGGTAAATGGAGCCATGTTGAAAAGTGCCCAAATTTTGGTGATGTGACTGTGGAGGAACCTCCATCAGAATTTGGAATCCAGGTCTTAAGTCCCCCTTTTGGATCGGTTGTAACTTCAGATGGTTGATAAGTGATGATTCTATGTTCAGGACTTACCTGTACATTGCTTGAGTTTTTACTATACTCAGTTCTACCCCCATTTGTTTGTGAAGAGGTAAAAAAAACCAGATCTTTTTACATTTTGGAAGATATTGACACCCATAAGTATTTGTGAGAAGCTTGAATTTGATACTGTACTGAAAACTTCCATTGGGATACCTGGGCCTTAATTTATGCAGTGAAGGTTTAAGGCCCATATTAAGGATTGCAAATGGTAGTAGATTCTATTTAAGGTTTTGGTATTCCTTTTTAAAATCAGGCAGCATATGAAGTATAGCTTAGAAAAATGTTTATGGTTTATCTTTGCAATGTCGTGGGGAGAAAACAAATATCCATTTTTATGTATGTTGTATTGCATTTTTATTATTAACACTAGGTGTTATTGACACTCATATTAGCAACTGTCCCTTTGGTCTCTAGTGTACATTAAATGCTTGAGAACCTTATGCCATTTATGATTTAACTTTTGTAACAGCACCTTTTATTTTAATTTAATGAAACCAGCCAGTCTGTTTGTGATAGAAAGCGCTTCCTAGTCCTCTGTTCATCAGGTTACCTAATTAAGTATGAGGGCCGCAATCATCTTAAATAGGCTTTTTAAAATTCTAAATAATAAAGCAGGTTCTATAGCTGATAAGGATGTCCAAAATGGGGGGGGGGGGACTTAATTAGAACTACTAACATAACATATTAAATAATGTAAGTTTTGCTATGCATAAGACATACTCTGCGCAATTATGTTTTCTATACTTTTTTATATATGCATCTGTTTTTGTAGAATTGGGATTTGGGTATAGCATCAAGCTACCTAAGGTGTCATCCTGATGGCAAAAACAGCCTCTTTGGTGTATCCCTGGAAATAACATATTCAGGATGTGCTGCATCCTGACATAAAGGAAAATATTAAAGTATTTATAGATGTAAAATATTTTATTTGTAAATGCCGATTTTTCTAAATTTGTTTCCACAAATTTCAAAGCCCATAACACTCTGTATACTTCAAAAATTCATTTTTGCCAACATTAGATAACTATTATACAGAACAGAATAAAAACCTGTAAGACAAATACTGGTAGGATGTTGGAATATCGTACAAGAGAAGAAAAATATTCAAGAAACAAATTTCATACAGCTATTATCAAGAGAAAAATATATACAATGATTTATTCTGTAAGATAAAAATACATCATGCCATGTACATTACAAGTTCAGAGCTGTATCACTGAATATACTACCAGTTTTACAGTCCACTTTAGCTGTGCACACAAAAAACTTCATTTTTTTTTAATATTTAGACTGTGAAGTGTCAGTACCAGAATTGAAAATACAAAATAAAAAAGCTAACCTGGTTCAAAATGTTGATTAGGGTTCTACAAGCAAACACAAACAGTGTTTATTTTTTTTAAAGAAATGTAAACAAAAACAATTCATACAAACACATTTTAAATTACTTTTTTTCAAAATCCTATTGGCAGAGTCCTGCAGCTGAAAGCACAATTCCTATAATTTTTTTCCTTGATTTTACTTTTCAAGAAGGCAGCTATTGACTTAAACTACACATTCCTAGTTTCATTACATAATTTTAGTGTAAGCTGAACAGTTCATATAATCTCCACTATTTCTGTTGAAAAGAAAATCAATGTTCAGCATCTAGTTTGGGTGGTTTTAGCAGTTATTCACAGTTATCACAAATTCTACACACAAAAAAAACCTGATTTAAGAAATAGGGATGTAACAATATAATACAAATAAAATAGATTAATCTAAATTTCCTCAAACATCTACAAAAACCACTGCTGTAATTTACATGCTCTCTAATCAATCTGAAGGGCTGCTTTAAAAAGTCAATGCAGCATAACTGAACCTGCTTTAAAGATTAAAAAAATAAAATAAAATCTCTCTTAAAATGAGATTTTGGTTACCCACGACAATTGTAATGACATGTAATTGTAATACATGAAATCATATTGTAACATCCCTATTAAGTTTAATAAGCACCCGAACTGCTGCAAGATCTGGTAGCATTTGGTCAACTCCTATTTTTTATACTGTACTTTTATACTCAAAATATTTACATTTTTGTACAAAGTAACAGGGTTTGTTAGTTCTGCAGGTAACAGCAGCAGCTTGGCTTCTAACTTTTCCTTTTAAAAATAGCTTCATTCACTTATTCAATAATAAATACAAAAAGTTTCTCTTATTTTACAGAAATCAAAACTACAATAAACTGACTCATGGAATCAAGTATTTTAAATGTATTTTAGTGCAAGTTATTTTTCCCTTAGCTCTATCCCTAAGGAAGTCATTTCAGTACATTCCTTGTTCAGTGGTGTCTACGTTTTTAATTTTTTTCCTGTTTTTAGAGGGCCTGCCCCTTTAATAAGTAAGGCGGTGGCCAGCACTTTGGATATCTCCCTTACCGCTGGTGATTTCAGTCTACATTCATTAGTGCCCCACTGCCCTTCAGCAGGTCAGCCACAGCTTCTCTGCCCGAATCTGATTTCTCTTTAGTGAAAAGAGATTTTCTCTTTTAATGAAATCAAAAGTGCTGGACTGGTCTGGAGATCAGTTTCCTTTTTGGGTACCTGGAAGCCAGGCCTAACTCCATATTCTGCCAGCTGGCTTCTGGTGCTCACTTTACACTGGAGTAGAAGAGATAACTTGAGAGAAGTGATTGTTTTCATACACAAAACACATCCCCACCCTCCAAATGAACAGCATCAAAAATCACTTCTTCCTTGGGACACGCAGCCCTCAGAGGGAATAAGGAATGCATCTAGTTCATCCATTTTCGGCAGTTTACAGCCCCACAGTGACATGCAATCTTGTGCTGATCATCTTCAAAATCAAACTTGTAGTCGTAACACAGCTGAAATGAAAACGACCAATTAGCTTTAATTATTACCGTATTTCAGAATTAAAAGATACATGCATTTTCAACATTCTTATTAAACATCTGTATAAAAAAATTAGAAGTACAAACCAGCTATTTTTATCCTGCCTTTTTATAAATATCCCATATTTAGCATATGGGATATCTAATAATCCTTTCTCTTTATTTTTCCAGAATAACAACCTTATGAGGTGGGCTGGGCTGAGAGACGGGGACTGTTAATAGTGGCTAATATCTGTAGTTCGGGTGTCTGATGAAGGTGAAGGTTCGTTCTCCAAGCTTGTGAGTTGGTTTCCAAACATTTTATTACCAGACCTAGGTAATCTCTTCAGCGGAATTTAGGGGATGTCAGTGTCAGTGTTCTGTTTATAAGATTTTGTGTGGTCAGTAGGTCTTCTAGGTCACGCTACCACTCACCACGCTCATGAGTTCTTTGAAGCCTGGCACTCCATAACATTGACCTACAACCAGCCTACAAACCCCTCAGAATCTAAATTAACTGCACGGCCATCCAGAGACAGCACCGACCGTCAACCAACCCATGCAAGCCCCCCCCAACCTGCACTTCACCTTCCAATGATCCTTGATTCCCACTGATGATTCGTACCTGACCCATCACAAAACCCTCACTTGACACACCCACACCTGACCCATCATCACAAGACCTTACAAACAGAAGAACGCAGACATCCCCTGAACTCCGCTGAAGAGGTTACCTAGTCTGGTAACGAAACGTTCAGAAACCAACCCACAAGCTCAGAGAACGAATCTTCACCCTCATCAGAGAGGGACTAGCCCAAAGTCTCCCAGCTGGCTTTTATGCCTAAGGCAGGATTAGAACTCACCACATTTTTAGTCTGGAGCCTTAACCGCTGGACCAAGCTGGTCTATAGACAGCCGAGTCCTATAAGGGGCATCTTAACAACTGTCTTAAAAGACAAGGAGTCTCAAGGTAACCCTACAATGTTGCTTTTAGTTCTGGAACTATTGGATATAATTCAGGTCCTTCCTTATTAATTCCTGGACAAAGTTTGCTTCTGAATTGTTTTTAACATATTATTTCATTAACATGTTAGTTCAATCTCGGTTCATTGCCATAAAAGGACAATTCCCCCCCCCCCCAAATAATGCCTTTGGCCTGCATTTTAACAAAGGGCAAATTGCTCCAGTTGCTAAAGGGTCTTCTGCCCCCCAAAAATTCCCTCCAGATCCTAAACATGCCAGCCTTCAATAGGATGTATCCCAGGAAAAACAAAAAGGCATTTCTCATCTGTCAGATGGGAAACTGTTTCCCCTTAGATAGCATACTCTGAGGTTCTTACAGATCTTTGCCTTTAGCCTAAAGAGCAGGACTCTGTCTACCAGCCATCAATACCAAATATTTAATACTTTGCAAAAAGCAGCAGCAGAATATTCAGTATATGAATGTATGTGTAGTGCCAAAAACCATATAAATCATTACCTCTTCTCCTTTCTGGATTCTCCGGCTAGAGCTAATTATGATTTTATGTCCCCGTTCAAAGGTTACCACTTCAGCCACACAGTTGGGTGCACAGGAATGGTTAATGTACCTATAAGATAGGGGAGGGAAGAGAAGTGTAGATATTTTTTATATATTGTAAAATAATTTTACTACGTGATACTTTAAGCAACAAAAGATAAAATTAAGTATTTAAAGTTAGGAAATGTGACAATAAGGCTGCAATAAAGTAGGAAGGTACTACTGGCGATAAAGACAATTACCAAATAAGGCTGCTGTGGGAAGAAGGTTTCAAGTAAAGGGTTTTTTTTCCAGAAGTACAAAGATCCTGGATGTCTTTTGCCCTTTTTGTCAGGAACCCCAGTTAGCATCATATACAGCACTCCTTCCTCCAATCTTTCCCACAATTTTCCCATGCAGATAATTGACTGAGAGAATGCCTGACACAAAGGCACCCAGTGAGCTTCCAAGGCTGAATTTGACCCATTCTAATCTAACACTGGGGCATGATGGCTAAGCCGTTAAAGACGCTGAGCTTGTCAGCTGGAGAACTGACAACCCGAGTTCAAGACCTGAGTTCAAGTGCAACAGGTTGAGATCCTTTTCCTGCCACAACTCCTGCCCACCTAGCAGTTCAAAGGCATACAAATAAAGGCGAGTAGATTAATAGGTATCACTTCAGTGGGAAGATACCAGAGTTCCTGTTCTGATCCAGCTCCCTGAACACAATAGACGCACCAATAAATCTCCAATGTTTCTTTTATTCAGGAACGCCAGCAGTTTCACACAGCCGACGGTTAGAGTCTTTATTTGCCTCCAAACAACGAAGCTCACTCACTTTTCCCCTGCAGTGGTCTCCCAAAACCCAGAGTTAATCTCAATCTCTCACCATGCTTGCAGCAAGAGTCCTTCAAGCAAGCTGGCTCTTTTCTAACATAAGACACACGCACACGCTCAGAAGGCGCTCTGACTCCCAGCACCACAGGATCCAAGGATCCGGTAAGTTTCCAAACAAGAGTCAGGAGTTCCGATTAGAAGTGGCTGACCGGCAGGGAGACGAATAGTTGTCTGCCACACCTATTCATCTCCGCCCCTGCCTTTTATCCATAGCTGAGGGTGGGGCTCTGTTAGCAGCGGTGACTCTTCCACCCCGAAGACCGGCCCATAGCCTCTCGCTGTTCTCTCCTCAGACTCCGCTGTGCCCATGCATCAATCAGTGGCCCCATGTGATCCTCCTCTCCTGAATCAGTTGCCTCAAGACATGGAGGTCTCAGCCTTTCCATCTGGGGGCTGGCAGACAGCCCAGGCTCCGCCTCTGTCCCTGGCTGCAACAGCGCCATTCCTTCGTCCCCACTGGAGCTTTCAGCTGGCCCTGATGCTAGGCCCGACGCCCACTCCTGTGCCTCCTCCTCTGACTTGGCTGTGGAGTCCTCCAGCGGCCGACAGGCCACAACAGTTCCATGTGCCTTTGGCTTATAGCCATGCTGGCCACATGACCACAGAAAATGTCTTTGGACAATGCTTCCTTGCCCAAGAAATGGGGATGACCACCACCCCCTAGAGTCAGACATGACTGGACAGGGGAAACCTTTACCTTTAATCCAGCACTAATTTCCTATAAGAACTACCCACCTTGCAGGACCTCCAGTCAATGTGGCATCAATGACATGATCGTTATCAATGCGGAACATGTATACTCCACGATTCTGCGGGGAGGAAATCAGGAGGAAAAAAAAGGACTGAGCCAGCGTAACAATTATCAATATTCAAAGACATGATATGTAGCCATTCCTGAATTGTAATTACAATCCAAAGGCTTATTAAAGCATCAGAAACCCTAATGTCTTTTTCCAAAACAGTAGCATTCTTGTTAGGATTTTGAGAATACAAACACCAAAAATGAAACTCCAAGGAAGGCTCAAACATAGCTTAATCACGGTCACATGTAGTCTCTACAACTGAAAGAATCAAATGTTGCTATGGTTGGTTCACAACAAATTTCCTTTATCTGAACACTTAAATACGCACGCACACACATATACACACTTACCCCACTGCTTCAAGTAATAGGTACAGAAACCGTGATAGACAGATACAGACAGACAGACAGTGAGAGAGAGATAGAGTGACGGATGGATGGATGGACGGAGAAGAGAGGGGGGGGGCACTTAGGATGATGTTATCAATGAAAATACAAATACCATTAAAATCTATACAAAAACCTATATTTAAAACCCTGTAAAGTTGCAATTAGTGCCAAACCCATGGAACTCTTGTCCTCATTAGACCCTCCATGTCCCACAAAGCTTGAAACACAAATGCTTCTTGTCTTATGGAATACCTGAGATTCATAAAGCTTCTCCTTCCTGTTGGCTACTTCATTGCGGATGATGGTTCCAATATATTCAATTACCATAGTGTGCTTTTCAATGTCTCTAGCAGCATATAAACCCAGGCCCTGAAAAGGCAGGAATGATTTGGTAACAAAGCACATCACTGGGCTCTTCTGCTGATTTAAATGGATCCCCAAATCTCAGCATGGCCACTTAAGATACTTTTAACAATCCTACAATTCTTTTCAAGTAATGCTACAATGATTACAGGTAGTCCTTGACTTACGACAGTAATTGAACCTGGAATTATGGTCATACATTGTGGCAGGTCACCACACAACCGTGCCAATTTTATGACATTTTGTGGCTGTCATTAAAAGAATGTGAAAGTCATAAGTGAGTGCCACAGCAAACCCATTGCACTCAAGGGGAGGGTTTTTTTTGGCAGAAACAAGAAGTAAATGGTGGCTTATGAGAAAATAAATTAAACAGGGCTCACTATTGACAATGGGATGATGCAAATGGCTGTCAATGCCAAGGGCATGAAGTGTGATCATGAGGGAGGGGGAACACAAGCCATCAGAACTTTGGAACCAGGGCATAAATAGCTACAGGAAGGTCCTTCATAAATTCAAATGGTTTGCTAAGTGACTAGTCCTAAGTGGAGGACTACTGGTACTGAGAAAAAAGTCCCACTATGTTCAGTGGAGATTAATCAATGGAGCTGTTCAAGTAGGCAGCACACAGAGGCTAGTAATAAATAAACATAAACAAATAGTGGGATTCAATGAAGGATAAATTAGCATGAATATGTAAATGAAATGAATAGATAATAAATATAACATATGCTTATTAAATAAGTGTTATTTTTAAATACATCTAGTATTTTCAACACAAAAATATAGTTAATACTTTCCTGGTCCAAACTGACCTGAATACGCGACCGTGCCAAATAGACATTGGATTTCCATTCGGTCTTCATTTTCCGATACTGAGAAGACTTCGAATGGACAAACTGTTTACTGTAAGGTGCATTTAGTTCTCCTGTAACTGTGCTCTGAAATGACTTTGAAGTGCTGGTGCTATTCAAGGTATGAGGCCTGTACCAAAGGGTCACAGAACAGAAGAAACAGAGAAGGAAAACTGAAGATCTCTCTGAAAGTTGTAACGTTTTGAATAGTAAAAGAGCTCCTAGGTAAACAGACATTCAAAGCCACCTAGCAGAGACACTAAAGCAGCAGCCCCAACTTGGACAGGCCACATACACAGCCAAAGACAGCAGGGTTTGTAAGCAGCACACAGAAGCACAGGTATCCTACGTAGCCTATAAACCCTGGGCTGTACTATGTGAATTTAAAAGAAAATACCTTAACACAAACCTCTTGACATGGCTGCTCATTTTGGGCTCAGAACGAGCGCAGCCAGTGGGGTTGATGGCGAGAGGCAGCTCCATGAGGGGGTTTCGGCCGTAACGGAAGGTGTAACGCTCACAGGCCTCAACCCCAGGGAGCTGAAACACAAAGAAATCCAGGTCAGTGAAACTGCAGAAGAGCCAAAGGAACAACTCTTGATACAAGAAAACAATCTTCTTCACAATGATGAAAGAAGTACAAAGTGTGCTTTAAACTGATTCCTGTTTTTCTTGTATTTTCTTTAAGAATATAGAAGCACAAACAGGTAGCACCAAGACCAATTCTGATTTTTCTTCACCAGTTTACAGGTTTCAGCTATAATGCAGAAGGAAGGAGTTTACTTCAGGTTAAAATGTTCCCGGGGTGAGAAATATTTTAGGGCCGGTACATTCGGTGCTGTTGGAGATTGTGAGAAGTATTATTTATTTATTTAATATATATGCCATCACTGCTGAGCAACTCTGAGAAACTACACAGTTGGATTTATTTACATTCCCACTGCCACCACACCACCAACCAGGGAAAGCTCTGATTTATTTCCACAGGATAGAAAGAAAGAGTGTGTATGTGTGTATATGTCTGTGCATGTCTGTGTATCTTGTCTCTCTACATTTATTTGTTCTAAGGATGAATTTCAGCTCTTGTTGAATTCTGCTGTTCCAACTATAGCACTCTTCTCTAATGCACCCTATTAAAAAAATTGCCACAAATGCCAAATTCTGATTATTACTAAGCAGGAATTGATGAAAATTCAGTCTGGCACCACTGCCCAAAGACTCACTGATTCAGCTATTCTAGCCACTGCAGAGACAGTCAGGCCAAAAAGATCTTCGCCCTTTAGATATGCGGGGAATAGCTGGAGCGTTTCGGAGGTTTTCCGTATAGATGCGACAGGCTCTAGGATTTTATCCCAAACATCTGTATAGGGAAAAATACAATAAGCAATGGAAACAGAGAAAGAGAACTTAATGCTCTGCTCAATTTATTACCGTATTAGGACATTGTTTACAGTTAGTGTAGGAAATCTATTATTAGAATTAGAGGTTCACCAAACTAGATTTTATATCTGCTTTGGACATAATGCTGGAATAGTATAAGATATAGATGATTATATGCCTCCCCAAACAGGTTTTAAAACTGTGGTTATTTCTGCAAGAAAGGCTACATTCATTGTATTATTTATTTTGGTCAGATGTTCCAAATTAGAATGCGATCACAAGTGACAGTGACAATGACAATTAACATTTTTCTAAAGATATCATAGGAAATAACCTTACATATTATTGGGACGAATTCTTCAATAATCTAACTTTCCAGGTTTAGGTACATTCCTAGGCTAGTATTAAATCAAGATCAGAATTCTCAACCAAGCAATCTTCTCCTGGCTAGGTGGACAGTTCATGTTTTCTTAAAGGCTTGAGGGGTGTAGGGGAGTTTAAAGGATCGAATGGGAACATTCCAAAGCAAAATAATCAAACCCTGGTGATGTGATTTCAGGCTGGTCTTGCTATCAGCCTCCAAAGTAAAACAGAAAATGCCACATGACTATAAACAGGTATAGTAATGTGAAAAAGAAAACACACCCATTTTGAGTTCTATGGTTTTGTGTATCAGGACATTTTTTAAAAAATCACCTGGTCCTTAGCTATTCTTAAAATTAGGTAAAAACAACCTCAGAGGAACAACAACACATGACATATTACACCTTGTTTTGGCTTTCTTTTTGTTAAATAAAAAGTATTTGGGTTTTTTTTCACATGACTGTAAGTAAATAAATGCAGTGCTTAGAAAGACTATCTCAGAAATAGGCAAGCTGCTTTCCTCTGGGCATTTTAGACATCAACGCCCATCAATTCAACCAGGTCACCCTGGCATAGCTCAGCGAGGATTCCCAGGTTTTAGTTTACCTTCTGGAGTCAGGCCAGTCAGAACCATGTCTTCATGCCCTTGCTCAATCACCCTGATCACAAACAAGGGGAAGCCATCCTTCTCTTCAATGGAGCACAGGTAGCGGCAGCGGCGGTTGGTGTATCGTATGCTCCAATACAACCGGCTGGCCTCAAACCCCACCGGGTAGAGCACCTTTGAAGAGTGAAAGGCAACCATCTGGTGGGGCAGCAACTGACCGATACTGTGGAAGATCAGGCTCCCTACCCGGAAGGTGTGCTCACGGTCTCCCCTCTGTACGATGCTAGCAATCTGTCGGACTTCGTCCCGCTGAACGTAGACTCGCCTGAAGACTGCAAAATAATTGAGTTCTTGCTCATGAGCACCCTTCGGTTTGTGCATTGGGCAAAGCATAGTTTTGTCTTTGAAAAACATGCATTGTGCTTTAATGGCACAGGTGAAGTGATAAATATTGGTGCATCTTAACCTGTGGCAGCCACTGGTAGCACCCATCTTGTGGCAGAACATGCATTTCATTTGCAAGCCTCTTCGCAGAGCTAGCTCGACATTGATTAAGGCACCAGCTTGTGTCTCATAGACCTCAGTAGACCAAAGAGCACAGTTCAAATGAACCCAGAGGTCTAAATCCAGATTCAGAAGCCTGGCTGGTCCATCAGTTAGCCCATCACCCTCTTCATGGCACAAGCAGCATTTTCGGTAGTCTTTCAGGACAGGATCAGGTTTAAGGGTTGTGCCCAGTTTCTTGAGAAGGTCATCTATCTCCTCTTCACAAGGTTTGAACATTCCTTTAGGAATCACAATCTGTATATTCCATTTTTTCCATTTCATTCCTTTCCATCTCTTGTTCACTGGTCGACAGTCATCAAGGCTATTGGGAACGGTTCTTAAGCGGGGTTTCAATTTCACAGTTACCTTAAGTTCTTCTGGTTTGGGCTCCACTTTGGCTGCTTCGAAGGCAGGAGGAAAAGTAATAAGGGGTGATGAGGGGGGAGAATTTTTTTCCTGCAGTTGAGGGAGGCAGTGAACGTCAAATGTAGAGATGTTTGTACTGTATTGGTGGAAACCTTTTGGAGGTTCTTTCATTGGAAATTGCATTTCAGGAGGGACGGATTCCTGAGAAATAATCAGAGCAGCAGTTGAAGAGAGATTCACAGCAAAAGTTATGCGCATGCATTATTGGAACCAGATCACAGTCTTGTATCAAGTAACAATAGTTTACATGGTTTAATAATCACTTTGCAAGGCTGGCTGGCTTTAAAAATTCAGAACTGAGAGTATTAAAATAATGTTTGTAAATAGCTTCTTAACCAAAAGGATCTCGGTTTTGAAATGACACATAAAACCTTGATATAAAACATAAGCTTGTACCCCTACTTATCATTGTAAATTGGGATTTCAATTTATCCTGGACCAGGTTCAGAAAATGCAAAAGATATATGAATAGATGGTTATGTATCACATTATATTCTTTCTTTGCCATGTACAGTCCAATCTACTGAAGATGTGAACTACTATTAGCGTTAGCAGCATCTATTTTATTCGTAGAGGCAAATCTGAGTGTTCTTATTAAACACTGTGTGTGAGGTGGTATGATAATCTGAAGTAATTTAATTTATTTATAATTTTTAACTCATTTTTATTGTTTAAATGAAATTCCGGTGTACCAGTTATTTTTTCCCATTACTGTGATAGATCCCAACATCAACTGCAAAATCTTGTAAGGTATAAGTGAGGAGCTCTGAGATTTACAGGTAAGTGTTTGAAGAGTTTGATTTTATATAAAATCTAGAATATAGTTAAAATAATTATATCTTAAAGAGACCACATTTTCCCTTCAAAATTGATTTATATATAATTTGGTTTTCACATTTAAGACACTTTAAAACATATATACAGGTCCCTATGTGAAAAAAGGTGAATTTTCATTGCAGATTAAAGCAAAAAATGGAAAACAAATTAAATATATTTGTTGTTAAACAAGCTGCATTGCTCTTGATCTTCTAAATAATTTTTATTAAAATGTTATATTAAAGCAGTGTCATTTTAACTATGTGGTAAGTATTTACCTTGCTTTCTGAAATTTTTGCTTGCATGGATGCTGAATAAAGAACCAAGCAATTGTTACTACAGAAGACAATGTCTTTGTCCATTCTCTCAGACTTTTCTTTGGAATCCTAAAAATAAAAAAAAAACCAAACAAAACAATAAAATGACAGAAACATCAAGCTCTTCGTAGAAGGCTTATATTAAGAGATGATTTTGTTTGAGAAATTTCTTTTATGTTGGACTAGACAAATATTCGACACTATCATTCTTAAGGATTTCACTAATAACATACATTTATAACAAATAAACTTTGCTCTCCAACATACAGAATAGCTAAATGTATTAATAAAAAAAGAAATAAAATGTTGCTTTATGATTACATGCTTAACTAGTTGTTAACTAATAATAAACATAATCTCAGGCCAAATAAAAATTAATAGACAGTAAGAAACTGAAGACATGCCAATTATTTTGGAATATTCTGGTATTTATACTGGGAATACATAGAAATATTTTTATTTTTATGCCACTTAAATGGCAGAAACATAATCCAGATTAAAGGAAAATAAATAACAGTGCTGTATAAATCATTCCTGTACTATCTGAAACCATTTACTAGTAAAGGAACAAATTTTTACATTAAATAAAGCAAAACAGGCAGCAATAGCCATCTTCTCAACCTTGGCATTTTAAGATGCTTGGACTTTCACTCCCTGAATTCTCCAGCCAGCATGTCTGAAAAAGAGTTCTAACACCTCAGGTGTGCAAAACTTTCTGAGCTCAAAGTGGACATTCTCATCATTCTGTACTTGATCAAAAGGACGGCATTATCTGAAAAGTATTTTGAGCCCTGAAACACACTTTTGTTTTGTGGATTTTGACTGAGCTGTTTTTCTCCCTTCCCCTTCCAAAATAAGTACTAATGTAGCTGGGCCTCATCATGTTTTTATTGCTACTGCCTTAAAACGGGTAAAGTAACACCGTGTTAGAACCCTGGTTATAGCAATACTTTTATTAAAAGTGCATAATTTCAGTTAGAGGTCCGTTGATGGACTATGTAGTGCCTTATTTTGCAGATATATAGCTTATAATACAGACAGAAGAAGGTGGGTACACAAAAAACAACAAGACTTCCTTCCTAAAGCTCTTGATTTTTTTGGGAAAATAATCCTCTTAGTCAATATCAATGCAAATTGGTCAGTGGGTAGTAGTTAGCATAGCCTCCCCATGCACCTGGTTTTATGGCCTTAAAAAACAGGAGCTTGCTTTGACTATTTGTTGTGCCGTATCCCTGGAATATTTAATACATTTCAAGCTTTATTCAGGTAGAATAGGCAGCATTCAACTGATTTCGAATTTTATCCACTGAACATAAGTCAACAAGAAATGGAATACTCCCAACCCTCTTGTACCTTTAATACAATAAGGAAAAACACCATTAAAAATGGAGGACATTACAGATATACCTGTTTCAGGAAATGCAGTTCTTTGAAAGGTTTTCGTACTCCACTGCCCAGTACTACCACTTTACAATGAGAACACCACTGTGACCTTAATGTCGAGCCATCGGCAATAATTGGACTTTGTGCTTTATATCCTGCCAAAACTGAAGGTGGGAAGAATACACATTCTTTTAACACGTGCATCATTCTACTGCAAGTATTCTTATCCCTACACATGCCTGCTCCATTACCACTAATTAATTAAATTTATATGCCACCCATCTCACTATCAAGAAACTCTGGGTAACTCACAATGTTATAAAAATGATACAAAACAGTTAAAACATCAAAATATTAAAACTTTGGACAGCAAAGTTAAAACATTTAAGTTAACACAAAGTGAATAAAGAACCAATGCACATACGGGGTGGAGGTGGGATCCTCCACTGGTCTACTAGCCAAGTCCTAAATGAGATGCCCTATCAGGTGAGATGCCCTATCAGGGTGCCGAGCTAGTGGACAGAACTAGGTCTTCAGATCCTTTCAGAAGGCTAAAGGGGAGGGGGGCACATTTCACCTGAAGGGGAATAATGTTCCAAAGGGCAGGCACCATGGGAGAAAGTGGTCAGAGGCCACTCTTTTCAGTGATGTTGTAACTTCTAAGCAAAAGTTGTAAGTTGAGGACTACTTACCTATACATTGTCCTCCTTGGTGTTCATTTGTTTCAGTACCTTCTGTAACAGTTTGGAACTAATCATGATTAATGACTGATATCAGATTAGTTGCCTTGGAAGCAGAATAACAACCAATCCTGCAAATCTTTTATCAGAATTCAATTTATATTACTGACAAAAATAAAGAAATATAATAAAGGGAACTTATTTACTCTTTATCTTGAAATCCCTTTTTTAAATCTTCAGTGCTGGGTTTAACCTTATTTATTAATAAAATCACACACTGACTCACCATTTCCGCTTGATAAAAATGGGGCATTGTGTGGCTTGAGTCCATAAGGCCCTGTTAATCCAGGAGGGCCGACAGTTCCTGACTGAGGACCATGAAATAGTACATGTTGCCTGTACTCAAATGCTGGATTTGTTCTGTGTGGATTCATTATTCCGATAGATGACAGAACATCAGATGCAGTGCTAATTTCATAGCTGTTTGGAATTCTGACATGTAGAAGATTGGAAAATGCAGCCACCACACTACCAATATTCTAGAGTGGAGAAAAATGAGTGTACAGTTTCTTTGTTATTAATAAGATATGCATAGTCCTCACTTATCATCTGTAATTGGGACTAGGAACTTCATCCCTTAGCAAGGTGGTCATAAGGCGTACTGTCACATGACCACACCAGCTTACAAAGGACATTCTGGCAGTCCTAGTTACCACTGTGGCGTTGCAACATCCCATGATCACCATTTGCAACATCCTGCTGGTTTCCTTCTTGACTTTATCAGAAGGTGTCATAAATAATCGTGTGACTGTGGCGACTCTACAGCTGCCATAACAATAATTTGTCGTAAGTTGGATAGAATTTAAAAAAATCCTGCCATAATTCCAAATTAAAGAATTGTGAGCAAACTCAGCTGAAAGAGAATAGCACTCCCATATACTGACAAGTGATTAAGCACTCCCATATCAGCACTCCCATATACTGACAAGTGATTAAGAATCAGAAAAAAGATTAGGAATAAATGGGCAGTTTTAACACATAACATATACAAAAAGCTTTTCAAGACATCAGAGTTAGGGCTGGGGCTTTTCAATTTGGTTATAAATGATCAGGGGTTTAGCTAAGTAATAAGCAGCCATCTTTGCTGATCATACCAAATTGTTCAGAGTGGTAAAATCAAACTGGTTACATAGGCAACGAATTGGCAAATGCAATTAAAGGACAAGAATGTATAAAATAATAGATTTTAGTCCACAAAATCCTAACTTTAAATTAATGGGATCTGAATTGATCAGTTGACTAATGAAGAAAGGGATTTTAAAGTGCCAGTGGATAGCTTGAATTAAAACCCAATTACAAAATTGGAATTATTAGGAAAGGAATTGGAAATCGAATGGCCAATAGAATAGAATAATGTTCTTATCCAGCATATAGCAAAAGTATTCAGTTAAGCCTTTATGACCCTATTATATACAATTCACTGAAACCATACGGAAATTGCATAGCAGCGTTTACTACAACAACTGACTGCAGTAGAAATAAAAATAACAACCAAAATATCAGTAGCACACTGAGGACTGCACCCAACATTGTCCACCTAGAGGTGTGGTATCTTTACCTCTGCAGCTGTAGGATGCAAAGTAATGGCAATGGACACAAGCCCGGATTCTGTGTTATTTGGAGCAAGTCCAAGCTGAGAACTGAAGAAAGTTGAACAAGGCTCCATTTTGATGAAATTTTGCTTTGCTTCTGATCCTTAGAGAAGAAATTAAAGTCACATTGGAATGTTGTTAGATTGCACTGTTTCCTAACCTCAGCAACTTTTAAGATGTGTGGACTTCAACTCCCAGAATTCTTCAGACAGCCATGCTAGCTAGAGAATTGTGAGAACTGAAGTCTACTCATCTCACCACTGGGTTAGAGAATATCAATACATATTTGTTCAGAATAAATGTTGGCTTTACCCTTTCCAGTACTGGATGGCAGAATTGGAATGACAGGAGATGGAACGGACTGTGGCATCTCTTCTTTTACTGCTGACAGATCTGGATACCTACTTATTTCCATGCCCATGACGCTCTCAGGAGAAGAAGAAGGAACAAAGCTATCTGGAGTTTCTCTATCATCACAAGGATCCTGAATCCTAAGACACACACAGCAAAACCAGGACATTTGTCAGTATGGTTCACATATATGAAGAGCAAACATGTGATTCAGGAACGTGACAGCAAAGGGGAGGCGCTTTCCATTCTTTTCAAAATCAAATTTGTTAGGTCTTTTTTTACAGCCAAAGTATGTTAATAGTATAAAGAAGTGTGATGTAAAAAAAACCTACAGTAGATGTATCTATTGATAAGCACACTCAATTACTTCAGCTGTTCATTCCATTTTTTAATTCTCCAAAGATTCTACAATCCTGTGCTTGCAAGTAATTTATGTGGAAAACAAAATAAAGAGCATTTCAAGAATAAGATCTCACCTCTCTTCCCACACAAGCTATTTTCTCCCTGATATTTATTTATTAAGAAATATTTTTAACTCTCAGACTCAGTTACTTGACTAGACCAGGGGTCCCCAGCCTCCAGGCCACAGACCACTACCGGACTGCGGCCTGTTCGAAACTGAGTCATGAGCAAGCGCATGTGCATGAAACTCCACTCATGTGAGTGGAGAACACGTGTGCTTGCATATGAAGCCCCACTGGCATGAGCAGAGGGCGCTTTTGCGCATATGCAAAGCTCCATTTATGCAAATGGAGCTTCATGTACTATAATAATAATAATAAAGTTGGAAGGGACCTTGGAGGTCATCAAGTCCAACTCCCTACTCAGGCAGGAAACCCTATACCATTTTGGACAAATGTGCTAGTGCCCTCCACTCACATGAATGAAGTGTCACCCATGAGCACAAGCGTCCTCCACTCAAGTGTTCTCCACTCGCATGCAAGTTCAAGTGCCTGCCACTTACGCAAATGGAGCTCAGCACATTAGCGCCCTCCACTTGCAAGTGTGGAAAGCCTGCATGTGAGCAGAAGCACCCTCCACTCAAATGCCTTCTGCTCGCGTGAATGGTGCTTCGCACACGAGCACAAATGCCTGCTATTTGCAAGAGTTGAGCTCCGTGTGCGAGAATAGCGCCCTCCACTCGCACCTGAAGCTGCATGCACCCACCACTCTCATAATTAGAGCAGTTTGTTTGCCTGCGCCTGCCACTCACATGTCCCCCACTGGACCAGGCTGCCAACCTAGAAAGGTTGGGGACCGCTGGACTAGACAACACTAGCTTTGCAGTCTGGTCCCAGAAATTTGCATTTTTCGTTTTCAGCAAATAAAGTTTGTTCAGTGACAGAACAGAGTTCTAACTTTCATTTTTAAAAATGGGAGAAACAGATCACAACTGAAAACCAATTTGAAACCTGGAAACTACATTACATGGACGAACTATAAAATAATGGGCTGAACTAGACCAAAGCCAATGGAAATTCCCAGCTTGTGTTGTAGATGGGGTAGCTTGCTGAGACATAAATTACAGATATTCCTTTGATTTATACATCAAAGAACTTAATAGCAAAAACATCATTATGGGAGTGCAAATTCCGCTCAGTATCAAAACACATGAGCAATAGTAAGCATAATATAATGTAAGCATAATATAATGCTTAAAAAAAAACACTTACCTGAGCTCTTCATGATTGTTATGAGGTGGGGTTGGAAGAGAAGCAGGGACATCCACACTCTTAGGACCCTGAATTATGGCCCTGGCTAACAAATCGTCCTGTGGCCTGAAAGGCAGCTGAAACTGCTTTGAACCTAAAGCTTTGGCAACGGAAAGGATGCACAGATTAAACAAATGATTTTAAACATTTACCTGATTGGACTGGATTAATGAATGGTTACATGCATCTCTGAAGAGCCAGATAATGTTTTGCTAACATTTAGTAACATCCAGCATATTCTATGTGTAGGCTATTCCAGATTCAATTTGGAATAGGTCATACTTGGACCAAAATATGTTTCTTTTGCCTGAATCTGAACATGTGTTTGGAACAAGCATAGGGATCCCATAGAGGTAGAAAACAGGAGGGAAAAAGTAAAGACAGCAATGATGGTGAAAGGTGAAGCAAGGAAGATGCTCGAGGCAACTGAGGGGAAGGGCAAGTAAGTCTGGGCCAGTTTGGATTATTTATATTTATTTCTTTAATATCCAGATTTTATTATTTTTATAAACAATTCAAGGCAGCGCACACACCTAATACTCCCTCCTCCTCCTATTTTTCCCACAACAAAAACCTTGTGAGGTGGATTGGGCTGAGAAAGAGTGACTGGCTCAAAGTCATCCAGTCGGCTTTCGTGCCTAAGGCGGGACTAGCACTCACAGTCTCCTGATTTCTAGCCTGGACTGTGCTGTGTCCGAATTTAATTAGGGATGTTGCACTGAAGGAAAGGGAAGTGAAGCTGATCAGTGGGAGACTGGAGCAGAGGAAAAGGGCAGAGAAGACTGAGATACATCAACCTTGTCCTATTTGACTTGCAAGACCCATGAAGAATCTTGCTTGGTTGAAACCTACAAGAATCAAAATAAGAACATCTTGGGGAAAAATAGCTCATAGTTTCCTCATTTTCCTTTAACCATAGTTTGCCCAGGAAATAAGGAAACCAAAGCTGGGAGATTTTCCATGATTGAGTCCATATTTATGAAATAGCTTTCCCCCTTGGAAGACAGATTAGCCCTGACTTTTTGGGCTTCCAAGGTGGAGATCTTCCATTTTTTTAATTTAACAGGTATGTTATTATACATCTCCAATTTTATTGATTATTGCCATTAAGTCATTGTTGAGTCATTGCAACCACATAGGCAGACTTTCTACGTAGCGATGTGACAGCAAACATCTTACCATCAGGTCCTCCCATCATTCCAGCTTTGGTAGCAAGTTCTTCAGTCGTTGCAAATCCATTTACAATTTTTTGGCAAGTCACAGGTGGAGGTGTAGGAGGAAGGGATGCTGGAGGTGTGGGTGGGTTACTGAGATTATTTTGCTGCATGAGAGAAGATATTTTCAATTAGTTTTCCAAAGGATTGTTGGGTAAACACACATATTTAATAATAAAACTAACTATGAAGTAGCAATCAAAATGCATACATATTAATGTAGTTCAGGCTGAACACCAAACTATAGTTTTAGTACTATGATATGCAAATGAGGTAACAGGACTTTCATTTTCTTATTTCCACTCTGTAACTAGTAACTATTAATAGTTACTAGAATAGTAAAGTAATTATTTTTTGAGTTTTCTATTACACCAAAGTTTACAATTACTTGCCAAACATACAAATTATGACTGGCACTACTTGTAGGACAAATACAAATCATAATTTCTATGTTCTGTTTGCCATTCTGCATCAAGAGCATATATCAAGTAAGGAAAGAAATTGATCATACTGTTTTTGTTTGAGAACTGGCTCCCCAGTTCTTACTGAGAATGAGGGATGAAAGCATCTTGTTCAAGAGCAGATTTTAAGGTAATCTTCTGCTAACAGTGGGGCACTGGTGAAAGTGAAGCTTTGTGCCAGAATAGGCATACATCAAAAACCACTATTTTAAAAACTAACCTAGAACTAGAGTGGGATATATTGATTTGCTTAAAGTTTTGTTATTTGCCTTTTAGAACAATTCTATTTTGCTGGTTTTTACCCCCTCTGTTGATGTGGCTTTTTTTGTTAGTTTTTCCAGAAAAGATGTATCTAATGAACAAAACACCTATATTTAAATGTGGGTTTAAAGTAACACTCCCTCACATTGGTTGATTCTTATATCAATGGCATAAACTCTACAGAAAAGCATGCAAAAACAAAGTAACAAGGAGTGTATTCTATCTGCAATACTCAATTGCAGAACAAGGAGTGTATTAGAACAAGGAGTGTATTCTATCTGCAATAGTCAATTCTGTTCCCAGCAGGAGACATTCAGGCAATGCTGCCATCTTTATTTTTTAGTTATGGATTTCATATCCTATCATTGAGTTAAGTGGCTTTGACATCTCTAAAAGCAATATGTAAATTAACCAGTAACAAGTAGAAGAATAAAAATAATAGCTGTCAGGGGAACAAAAGTAACATCAACTTCAGATATTTCAAAAAACTCCTTGAAGACTAGAGTGGCTTCGCTGGTTTCTGAAAAGGGCACAACAATAGATTCTGGGAAAATCTCCTGGTCACCAATTACCATTTGCTGACCTCCAAAAGGAGACACCATTACGGAAGGGCCTCGTGATGGCCTCTTAAATATGCGCAAAACAGCCTTAGTTCTTTAATTTTTTATTTATTTAGAAAATTTATATTGCTGCCTACTCAAGGCAGCTTACACAGATATAAAAACACCATATAAAAGGAATAATAATAATAAAAATAATAAAATAACCCCCCCCCCACACACACACGCTGTCGACAACACACATTCAAACTAGCCATTAAATGGGCTCCATCCCGCTTTGGGTTCTGCCTGCTGGCAGAACCAGGTCTTCAAACTCACAGATGGCATTTATGTCTAAAGACAGGACTAGAACTCACAGTCTCCTGGTGATTGATCTAAAGTCACCCAGCCAGCTTTCATGCCTAAAATGGGACTAGCATTCATAATCTTCTGGTGCTTTAACTACTAGAGCAAACTGGCCATAATTTTTCAATTATGGTCTCAAGAAATCCTGAAGTATATAAAATAATGAATCCCACTTTTATTTCTTATAAAATTTTGAGAGAATTACATAGAAAAATAATACACCTTGTAGATTAGCTGAGAATAGTAATCAGATACCCCATCAAGTGTAGCACTACCGAAAGCTCCCACAAGCCGACTTCCACTACTCTGATGGCTGCTACCATATGGAAGAAAGTGGGTGAAGCTCACTCCAATCATTGGCTCCATTAAAGGCAGCAAGGAGAGTTGCTGGAGGAAAGATGCATAATTATGATTATTGTTCTTGCAAGCCGATCACAATTGATAAAATTACACTAAGAAGATTGCTACTTTTAAAAGCTTAAGCAATCCAGATACAAGCATTTCAAAGTTATCTTACACTAAGCAAAATCTACCAATATTGTGCATCCTAACTTTTATACATTGTTCTTAAAAAATAAATAATTTTGCCAGACATAAGGGCTCCCAAATGCAGCAACTGTTGGAGAAGCTTTAGTCTTAATACTGTATTTTCAAGATACAAAAAATTGTTCACAATGAAAATGCATCTAATAAAAATTCTTTCATCATCATCATCATCATATCAAGACTGATCTCCAGATTGCAATTTTGTTCTAAACTGTCAAGAGTGTCATAGCTGCTAATGTAAAAAAATTAAGCAATAAGAAAATGTTGTTTTTAATCTTTTCTCCCAAAAAACTTTTTCTTCACCAATATAGCCTTTAATCCATTTCTTCTTTGTGTCATATCTCTCAGCAGCAAGGACTTGTATTACAGCAAACAAACTTTCTTTGTTTGTCTTCAAGGAAAAACAAAGAAAGTCCAGTTGCCTCTTGAGAAAGCACCTTTGGGACAACCATGACCTGGATGACCGAGAATCTCCATCGACATAGAAATAGAACTTCTTTAGGATGATCTGCTCCTATCCTGGCCCATCATTTTTTCCCAGTGGTGCACTCTATCACTGCTGTAATAAAAGTCCTTGCTGCTGAGAGATATGACACAAAGAAGAAATGGAATAAAGGCTATATTGGTGAAGAAAAAGTTTGGATTTCCATCTCTGTGGTCATTAAGAGTCAACATCAACTTGATTACATGATGGCATGAAATCAATCAATCAATCCAATAAAAAGTGACCTATTAGAAGGGTCACCAAGAAGAAAATGATCTTCTAGAATATTCTATAATAAATGCAAGAAGCGGGTAAGCATCAAATGAAACCTAGGAATGGTCAAGCCTGTATTTCCACATATGTAAGAGCTTTGAACAAGGAAACATGGTAAAAACAGAACACAGATACCTAAAAAACCAAATATAAGATGAAATTTTCAATGGCTTTCTACTTCTTCCAAAACTTTTCATAATGGATTGTTCTTTTCAGTGCTCACCTGTTTCAACTGCATGAAAGTTTCTGTGTTGGGAAAAACTGTGTGTTTTTCTTCCTCCTTTTTTTTCCTTTTAGGCCGAGATGTTGCTTTTTCACCTGTCCTCTGAGTTCGTTTGTTCCTCTGTTTCTTTATTTCATGTCCTAAATCTCCTCTCTGAACTTGGCTGTTACCACAACTAAATGAGCCTTGTAACAGGTTCCCCAATGGCTGGTTAAGGAAAAAGCAAATATATCATATTACTTTAATAGAAATCCTAAATGTTCAAAACTCAGACCCTATAAATTGAACACTAAATTTGATAGACTATCTACCTCCCTACCTCCTGCCCAGGTCACCTAATGATGATCACAAAGATAAATATTGATGAACATACAGTTTAACTGCATCCTCATTTCCCTTAACGAAGTTCAAAATCAGACATAAAAATTGAAAGAAGGAGAACCAACTACCTTCAATTTCCCAAAGGAATCAGAGTTGGATTGAGACTGAGCCTCAGAGGTCACAACAAATAGCACAAAGCTTTCCCCGTTACTATCATGATTGGAAGATGTTTTCCCATTGGCCAGAGACATTGGAATGTTGGGGAGGAAAGCACCTGTTTTGTTAAATGCAATAGTCCTCACTTAGTAACCCCAACTGAGACTCAAACTCAAGACATTGAGCAACATGGTTACTAAAGGAGACATCATGCAACCAAGATGGATTTATGATATTACTTTCCATTTGGCTGTTAAGCAAGTCATCCTGTGACCATGACTACTGATTTTACTGCTGGCTTCTCCACTGATTCTGCTTGCTGGAAGCCAACTGTGAAGCGTACAAATGTTTTATGATTATGAGAGGATTGTTCATAAAATGTGAGGATTGTTCATAAAATTACTTTTCAGTGCTGTTGTAACTTCAAATGATCATTAAACAGAGCAGACATTAAGCAAGGACTACCTCTACACACTGTTGAGGATAATCAAAGACCTGTTAATCAAAGATGAAAGTTTTGTCTTTCATGTCTAAGCTAGGAGAGGAGTGGAATGTGGATAAAGGGAGGGTGATGGGAATCTAAAATCATGCCTCTGCATAACAAACCATGTTTTATAATGACATCTGAAATAGCTTAATAATCAAGAGAAAGTAAGATGTCTGACATAGCTTAATAACTAAGAAAAAGTAAAAAGTCCAAAGGAACAGTTGTATTCTCCTTCTACATTGTTGTAAATCTCATTAAATGATACCTTATTCAAAGGAAACTGCATAGCATTTAATTACTTTAGTAGTTTTTTTAAAAAAATGTACTCAATTTTTGCATTCATGTTATATATGAAATTATAGATAACAAAAATGGCAAAGCTGTGGTAAAAATCTATCTAAATTGCTAAGAAAGATATATCTGTTATACCCAGCAACAAATAGTTGTGGACACCAACAAAGTACTTCCTACCATATACTTTCCAATATCCTGAAAATCAAGCTGTTATTATAAAAAATGTTTACCATGCTGCTTTCAGCCAAGTCCTGTTTTTCAATTAACTTGTTCTCCTCGGCATTCTCTGGAAGGTGGAAGCTGCTATCTGGTTTCTGATTGATGTGACGGGTGGCTGTTTTGTTCTTAAGCAGGTGTTTGAGGAGTTCATTCCCTGACTCCACTTTTGCAGGTGGTGTGTTGACAGGTGATGCCAGCTTCTGTGTAGGAAGGGAATTCTGAATGGCAGCTTTATCATCTTCCACGTCAACATCCTTTTCTGTCTTTGTCTTAGACTCAGTTTGACTGGAGCACTGATCATTGTCTGCCTTTTCTGGTCTGATTTCCTGAAGGCTTGCAGAAATATCGGTCTTGGTATCGGTTTCTGGGTTTAGACTTGATGGTTCAAGGAGTTGGTTTTGTGGCAAATTGCTTTTAGCAAGTTGACCTTTCAGTTCTAAGGAAGACTGACTCTCTGCAGCATTTGGTGTTGCTGCATCTGGCAGTTCTTCTTTTTCCGTTTCTCCCGAGTTGCGTGCAAGCTCACCAGAAGTGCTAAGAGTTGGGGTGGACACAGCATCCACAACTACTGGAGTTGGAGGAGCAGTTATATCCGAATGAGGCGTGGATGGTGTATTCACAGAGTCAGTGTCATCCTCTTTTTTCTTCTTTCTTGTTCTTTTCTTTTTGCCCTTCTCCTCAGGAATGATATCAGAATATAGCTGAATCAGAGATGGATTTGTCCCAGCAAAGTTTGTTCCAGGTGGCAGGCTCGAGTCCTGACCACAGACTGGACCACTGCTTGTTCCTGGAGAAACTGCAGGCACACCAGTGGCAAACTGAGGCCTAGGCAGGGACTGGGTAAAACTGACTCCAGAAATACTTCCATGGGACTGCTTAGCAGAATGGTAAGCAGAGCTTCCACCTTGAACTGGGACTGAATCAGATGCAAAAGGAGAAGATCCAGTCTGCTGCTGCTCACTGCACGGTGGAAAAGGGGCCGTGGGAGGAGAACTTAAGGGTCCTGATTGCAAAATTGATCCTATCTGCTGCTGCTGTGGTGGTGGCGGTGGCGGTTGCTGCGTAGACTGCTGAAGGGGCTGTGGTGGCCTCATAAAATCACCAGGTCGATCCGAACCGAGGTAAGGTATTTGAGGGAAGGATGTTCTAGCATTTAATTCAGAGCCCACTGTGCCATGCTGTTCCATTTCTATCCTCTGTTGCAGTGCTCTCTGTCGATCCACTTCCTGCATAAGCTGGATTCGTTGCCTTTCCTGCTGCTCCCGCAAACGCTCTTTTCTCTCTCGTTCCTGGAAGCTTTCGCTAAATGGGTTATTGTCCTCAAATTCCACACGAGGCGGGGGACCCGACTGCACAGTGGGGCTGGGGGCTAACACAGAAGCAGGTGTCCCAGGATTAACTGGCAGTTGGGGGATTGGAGGGGGCATTCTTGGCGCATTATGGGAGAAAAACACTGGAGTGTTTGGAGGTTGCCAGCCAGGCAAGCCTGGGATTCTAGATGGATTGGGTTGGCCAACAGGGTGCTGTGGATGCTGAAGCTGCTGGGATATCATTGGGAAATTCTGCTGACCCATGGCTGGTGAAGACCCTCCAGGGACCATGGGGGGCTGCGAAGCAAGGCCTGGCATCCCTGAATGGGGTCCCATTCCACACTGCTGCTGTTTGATGCGGTATTCTTCAATCAGCTCTGTGTGCTCCTTTTGCTGCTTTCGTATCTGCAAAATTCAATTCTTATTTAATTCTAGTATAATTTTTAATCATCTTTACCCTGCCTTTATTATTTTCATAAATAACTCAAGGAAATGAACATACACAATACTTCCTTCCTTCGCCTATTTTCCCTACAGCAAGGCTCACTATTGCAAGATCCTTTTATGAATCGCATGGAACCTAAGAGCTCTTACCTGTTCAAGCTGTTTTTGGACCATGCTCTGCTGCTCAGTGACGTGTTTCAGCTGCTCTGCATCCTCCTCTGGGAACTCACGCCCAGCTTTCTTTGCTGTGCGCTGTTTTGCAGAGAGGGCTTTCTTTGATTTTCGGTGTGCTCCAATTTGCTCTTCAAGATACTTCTGCTGCATTTGAAGAAGCTGCTGCGTTTCCTGTAGCCATTCCTCATATTGCTTTCTATATGAATCATCTGGGATTAAAAGATAACAAATCCCATGTTCCTTCCAAAGATTCAAGTGTTAAAGGGAGATCTTTATTTTTCAAGTGTGTGGTTGCTTTGGGCCATGTTGTTATTACAAAGAATTCTTCCACTGACCATCAGGCTATTACTAGCATCCATAAAACATGTTTTCAAGCAAGCTACAGAAAAGGGATCTGCACTTGCGCTCTCCCAAGATGTTTTATGTTCACCATACTATAGGTAGTTTCTACCATAATTGATCCTGGAATCATGGTCATAAACTGAGCAGGCCCTCAACAGGTGATCATGTGACTGACCCGATGTTATTATTATTATTTTTTTGCAATAGTTGTTAAAAGAATGTGGAAGTTGTAAAGTGAATGCTGCAGCCAATAAGCAAACCCGTTGTTTGCAATTGGGAGTTTTTGATGGAAACCAGAAGTAAACCAATTTCCAGCCCAAAATACCACAAGCTGTGGTCATGTGACCACGGGATCCTGCAAATAGCTTAAATGCTAGCTAACTGACGAGTGTCCAAAATGCAATCATGTGACCACAGGCTGGGGGCAGCCATCAGAATTTCAATCACTAAGCGACTGGTCAATAAGAAGGTCTGAAACATATTTTCCTTTCAAAGTACGTTTTAAACAATGGAAAAAATATAAAATATTTTAAAGAAATGCCAAAGTAGCTTTTATAAGGCAAAAAAGGGTCATGTTTATCTTAACCTAACCAATGGTCCATTACTTTTTTAAAATCAGTGATCAGGCTGAATACACAATATTAAGTCTGTAAAAAATTAAGCACATGAATGAATATCTAACTACTCATTAATAATCAAAGTTACTGGGAGAAATTTCAGTAATTTACTGTATTTTAGATGTTGTATTATTCTTCAATTACGGCTGAGTTTAGAAACCAAGCCCCAAGAACATAGCGCATGAACAGAGTTATACTTACTTACAAATCCAGGACCAAAATTTGGAGGATTTGGTCTAGACATCTGAGGTGTTAGGCTACCATCCTTAAAGGAGAGAAAAAAAGTTAAGAAAACTTCTTGAGATGATCTGAGCAACGGCATGTGGAGTTTTGCAGCGCAGAAGCAGCCTCCATGCACAATGATGAATCAGCTATCTCTCTCCATTTCTAACCCTTCCCCCAATAAATAAAGCCGCTATCACTGCAATCAGAAGCAACAATCACCTATAAGACAGGGAAAGGCAGTATTTCAGATTCAGCCAAACCCATCTATAAAGTCCTGTACAAGAACAGCTGGGGATTTGGTTCCTACTTTAACAACTAAACACACTGCCCTTAATAATTATTATTTTGAATGGCTTCACTACAGATCTCAGGAAATATTTTATTACCTGTGTAACAGCTTGTGGTATTAGATGCTGGCCTTCATTGCTCTGGGCTCCAGGTCCTGCCTGACCCATAAAGGCAAATCTAGTAATAGGTAAAGGAAAATAACCATTTGGTTTATTTGTTATTCAACTTGTATTAATGAAGAGATCATAATCTCAAACAATTCCATCATAATATATAAATCAGATGATATTTCTTCATCTGTACCTATCATTATTTTAAGTTTTCATAATCAAGATTGTTTCCTTTTCTGTCTTATAGTTGATTTCATCATTACCAGTCATTTCGTGCCTGCCTGCCTGCCTACCTGCCTGCCTACCTGCCTACCTGCTGCCTGCCTACCTGCCTGTCTGCCTGCCTGCCTACCTCCCTGCCTGCCTGTCTATCTATCTATCGTACAGAACAGAAATAAGAAGGAAATAACATTCAATGACAGAATTTTATAAATAAATTCATTAATATCTCCACAAGCAAGATCTGAACATATAATTAAGGAGAAAATCTGCACTTTCATATTGGTATCTAAGAGAACAATACTGTATCGTTTTAGGCAAAAGTATTATTTTTCACCAACCTGTTCATGACCAATGGTGGCATCCCCATATTGTTCTGTGCCATAACCTTATTGATCCCTTTCAAAGCTACCATTTTTGCCTTCATTATAGGATCAGTAATTGCATCAAAATCTAAGAAAACAGAATGTTAGAATATATTATGTTTACAAAATATTCAAATCATATTAATTACAATTCTGTTGAACTATAGTCTTTTCATATTTATATCTGCTAATCAATTCAGTGTTATTTTTGTTTTAAGAAAAAAGTTGTGAATTTGAAAAACTGTTCCCATGGATATATTGAATTTGTTTCAGACCACAAACTGAATCATTTTACACTCAAAGTTTACATGACCTTAGACTAAAATTGGATACCAACTGGTGATTCAGATAAATATTTTGGCAGAAGCAGAAACACTAAACTGTCAATTTTTCCCTTAATGCCTACACTGAATTAGTGCCAGGAATTAAATGCAATTTGTTTTCAGAATGGAAGGGATGTAATCATATTTGTGTGTGTGTGTGTGTGTGTGTGTGTTTGCATTAGGGCAATTCTCAAGAGTTCCAACAAGTACATACAGTAAATCAAAGAACAAAAGCAATCAACTCTTTGCATAATCTGTACAATTTTTTTTAGAAAGACTATTAAAAATTAATACAGGTAGTCCTCAACTTACAACCATTCGTTTCCAAACCATTCAAAGTTACAACAGCATTGAAAAACATGGAATTATGATTGTTTTTCACATTTAGACCGTTGCAGTATCTCCATGGTCACATGATCAAAATTTGGACCCTTGACAACTGGCATGCATTTAAGACTGTTGCAGTGTCCTGCAGCCATGTGATCGTCTTTTGCAGCCTTCTGATAAAGGGAAGCCAAGTTCACTTAACAATCACATTAGTAACTTAACTGCACTGATTCACTTAACAACCATGGCAAGGAAGGTTATAAAATGGCCAAAATTCATTTAACAACTGTCTTGCTTATAGAAATTCTGAGTTCAATTATGGTCATAAGGCAAGGTCTACCTGCATCCAAATTTTGTCTTTATATTCAGCTTTTTGAAAGGCAACAAAAAACTGTTTTGTTGTATTTCTGGGGACTGAAATTGCTGGCTTACTCCTAATTTTTCATTTTCTTGGTAATGGTTTTAATGTTTGCTTTAATTATTTTATTGTTTTTTTTGGTAATTATACCTAGAAGCTAATGAACTGCAGGAAATAAAATCGGTGCCATCAATCAACTACATAAATACGTATCTACAGAAAGATCCCTTAATACAAACTATTTAACAATCATAAGTGCCTTAACTCATCTACACATCCCCAGAAATGGAGAGGTGTTAACATTCATGACAACTGAGAATGAGATTTATTTGCTCATCTAGTTTGTATGCATACCCGGCCAACATTACCATGGTTGGAAAAGTAACAAAAACATACCAATGTTGGGGAAAAATGGCTCAGACCGCTGGCGAATCATGGCTTGCATCTGTCGTTGCTGCTGCTGCTCTTGCCTTTCTTGATCCAAAAGATCTTGCAGCAACAGAGGCTGCTCTTCCAAAAGCAGAGGTCTCTCCCGATTCTGCTGTTGGACCAATGTCTGAGGAAGTACCAGCTGCTGAGAACCAGGGATACTGCTAGGAGAAGGCCTATTTCCAACAGGCCCTGTTTGACTTCCAGGCTGCCCTACCCCCAAATTGGGATTGAGGGGCTGGCCAGAGATAAAGGCTGGATTTACTGCAGTCCCTTGTGAAAAACTGTGGCTTACTGCTGGAACCATGTTCACTTCAGGTAACACATTTTCCATGTTTTGACTGGTGGATGTAATTAAAGTTACGGGATTTGTTTGGGCTGTCCGGAAGGAGTGAGAAGGAGAATCTAATAACCTCGTATCAGGGTTTTCTGAATTGCCATGAGTGAGTAAGCTGGTAAGAACTGGAGTAGATCCAGGGGTATTACAAGCATTTGTTGTATTTTGAGTAGGCAACTGAACTGCATCTGGACTGGACACTGTGGTTTCCGCATTCATATCTACTTTATCAGTTGCTTCCACGTTACAAGACAAAACAGATTTAGTTTCTCTATCATGCTGAGCACTAGAAACTGCGACATTTTTGTCAATTTTTTCATGTTTACATTTAGCTTCTTCAATTGCAGAAAGCACTTCTGTTTTAGTCTCACTGTTCTCAGTAGCTTTTTTCTGAGGCGGAACAGACCCTTCAGGAACAGAAGTTTTATCATCTGGTTGTTTCTGCAGACTGTCTTCTCCCTTGCCATGTATATCATCTATGGGGACATTAAGATCCAGCTCTTCATTAAACATACCCTTTTTGTCACCCAAGTCATGGTCTGGATCAGTATATGCAATTATGTCAAATTCTCCTGATCTCAGAAGATCATCAAGATGACGGTCATTAGTTTCAAGATTATCTAATGTGTCCAGTTCATCACCTTTATCTTCTGCATCTAAATTTAAATTTTCAAGATCTTCATCAACCAAATCCTTAACCTCAACACCATCAAGGTCTTTAACATCTAAATCTTTCACAGAGGGATCATCAGGATCAAGTTTTTCTTCTAAGATATCAGTAGGCTGACTGGGCATTCGCAAGCCGCTTGTTTCATCAGCAGGTCTTGTGATTGGCAAAGAGTCTCCTCGAAATGCATTATTTATTGATGGATGATTTAAGGAACACATGACTAGTGCAGATGGATGACTTGGATTCATTTTATCCTGCTGGGATGGTGATAAATGCTCCAAACCTGTTGAAATCTGCAATGGATTATCTGAATTTTGAGAATTACATCTTGTGGGTTCTAGGTGTCTTGGCCCCTGACAATCCTGTCTAGGTAGAAGTTCAGTTTGTTGTTGATGCTCAGGAGCAGTGTTCATAACAGTAGATGAAGAATTAAAAGGCAGTCTTGGTCTGACTTCAGGTGCTCTATGACAAAGCTCAATAAATGCCTGCCCCATTATATTGTGCTGTTGAACCTGGATACCTTGTGGTGGGAAATGCTGTGACAAGCCAATGGGATTATTCATTGGTGGTTTGTTAGGTAGTCTAGGCAGATCTATAGGCATGGATCTTCTAAACTGTGGTGGGACACCAGTATGTTGCATCTGTTGTGGTGGACCAAGAAAATGATCTTGACAAGGTAGAGGTCCATGGCCACCACTGGGAAAGCCAAATCTGGGAAAGAGAAAAACAAGCTTTTATTGAATCGAATTGAATCGAATTGAATGACCCACAGAATATTTCCTACATAATGAATAAATACAATAACTGTGTAGCTAATTTTCACATAAATAAAATTAATGACATCATTGAGCTGATTTTCACATTATCCATTTACTACTAAATGGATAGTAGATGATCACTCTCTGTATATAATAGATGATCACTCTCTGTATATAAATAGATGATCACTCTCTGTATATAATCCACTAAAAATAGATGATCACTCTCTGTATATAATCCACCAAAAACCTTTTATGCATATTTTGAAGAACTACAGAATTAATGTAAAAATATAGAGTTAAAAAGGCAACATGTTGTGCTTTAAACCTTGATTAAATTGCCAGAGAAAAGATGTAAATTAAGGCGAATTAATAAAATTATAATGAATTCTCAGGCTAATTAATATAAGGGCAGAAAGAAAATTCCTACACTCCAAAATACCTAGACATATCTAGCAGCAAAGACAGTATTTTCCAGACATAATCATATTTATACATGACATGGAAAGTAAACATTTACGTACCTTAATTTACAGACTATAAAATTATAATTTAATTCTAACATGCCAAAATGTTTTGGCCTCAAAAGTATTTTTGTGCTTGGTTCATTATTTTACAAAATAAAAAGAATATTTAATAAAATATTAATTCAAGTTTAAGTGACTGCATGTAACGTTTAGTATGTTGGCTTGTATTACATTCAAGTACTATTTTAAACCACATACTATTTAAGGAGATTGTTAAAAGTAATAAAGATTTGTTTTTAAACAGTTGTTCCTGTTCCTAAACTCAACATATAACAGTAATGCCACCAATGGAAGAGAGGAAGTTATATATGTAAGTCAATACCTGTTACTCACTACCTCATCACATTTTTTATGTTAGATTACTGTTGCAGAGTTGCATTTATTCTCCACTCTGTTTTATCTTTATTTCAAACCTATAGACCTTTTCTCATTTAAACATTCCAAATAATACTTGCTTTGCCAAGAGCCAAACTTATTGGCAAATACCCTTTTAGGCCCATCAACAACCCCTATGAGATGCACTTTAGAGAAAATGGCCAAGCCCTCAATCAAGCTACTTTTTGCCTTTCCCATAAGCTCAGTCATATCATATCTATAGCACAATTTCTGCATTAAAATGAACATGCAATTTTTTTCTCGGTCATTCTGAATGACAAACATGCTTGTATTTCTTTATAACTAGCCCAAATTTAGTAAAGAGTGATAAAGTGTTTCTATACCTAATTCCATGAGGCCTCATCCCCATGCCACCAGCATCTCCTGGAAACTGAGGTCTATTCAGTTGCCCATCAACAGGAAAACCTGCCAGCCTTAGTCCACCTGGAGGAATGGTAGATGATCTAATGTTGCCTGGATACGGAGGTGGTGGTCGACTGAAAATCTGATTCAGATTTTCTTGCTGCCATGGTTGAATAAGTGCTGTTGGAGTTGATGCGGCAGGCTCCAGTGGGGCCTTTTCTTGACGGATTGCGTTTTTCTTTTGTTGCTGCTGCTGAAGAATAATTTCACGTAACTTCTGGCGCTGACAAGAAACAAAAAAAAATTATAATCTAATGTTAACTTAGAAACATTTTGCTTCTTTTGATAAAACATTGTTCCTTGTAATAGATCACATCCCTGTAGGCCACATATCTTTTTTACAAGCATTTGCTCAACTTTATTCATCCATCACACTTTAGATGGACTTAAAAAACATCTTACAAAATCTTAAAACATTAATCCTCTGGCTTAATATCAGTCTTTTGGCATTTGGTTTTAAATCTCTCTCTCTCCCTTCTTCTTCTTCTCTCTCTCTGTCACATTTCTACATTGCCCATCTCACCTCAGTAACTCTGGGAAGTTTACAATAAAATCCTGCAGTTAAGAAAGGATGTGTTGAAATACAGTGCCCTCAATCCCCAAGCCCAAAATATTATTATGATAAAACAAAAGAGTGTTTACACAATTCTCAAATCTTTGCAGAAGACAGGCTTGAAATTAGATTGAAATGACTCTATGCAAAAGGTCTCAATTAATTTAGCATTGAATTACACACAAGCATACTGCCCAACGCAAGAGTCTTAAGCATTAAATAATATTTTTTACAAATCTTAGAACAGCAGTTAACATAGATAAGTGCTTATTGATTCCAACCATATAAGGTGGGCGAAATATACAGATTTTAAAGCTCATTTCTACCTTCAATTCTGGTTAAGAAGAGATGCTGGATAATATTCACGCAATAAATATTTAATAAAGATAGGTCAATGTTAGCCAGAAGTTAGTCAGTTGAACATTTGTATCTTTTAGCTTAATAAAAGCAGTGATTTATTGAGACCGGCAGTCTCTTATGTTTCTAAAAACTATTCTTATATCCTTTCAACTATGTCACCTCAATATGAATCAGCATAACATCAAACAAGATAAATTCACCTGTCTTAGTTTCTCTGCATCTGTATGAGACATTGTGCTGTTCTGTATTAATCCTGTACTTGGGCCTGGGACAGAACCTTGTGTAGTCTGTGAAAATAGTTTTCCTTGCAAATTCATGGGTGAGTTTACAGAGGAATTGAAATTTCCTTCTGACCCACTTCTAGATTGGTCTTCTTGGGGGTGCTGAGCTGTTCCAAAGGTTTCTGGTTGAGATCTTGGTGTCACTGGAGGCTGATCAAAAGGATCACGTGAGGGATCATGGCTAAAAGAATCTGTCACTGTAGGCCCTGATAGCTTTGAAGACTGAGAAGGATCTGATGGCTTGACAAAAGTCCCAGATAAAGTCCTGCTCTGTGATGCCTGCAGATAAGGATCCCGATTTGACATGGGAATTGGTCTACTGAAAGTTTCCGAAATTCCAGACCTTTGAATTGCTGGTGACTGAGAATATGGATCATTAGTAACTGGCATTGGTGTACCTGGAGGCTGGGCATACAGATCAGAATGCCTCTGATTACCTGAAACCTGAGCAAATAAGTCTGCAGTCTGTGGAGGTCTTGGTGTGAGTGGCTGATGCATATATGGGTCAACTGGAACAGGTCGAGAGGGCTGGGCATAAGGATCTGAAGCAGGTCGAGGGGTACCAGGGGGCTGGGCATAAGGATCTGTGACAGGGCGAGGAGTGCTTGGGGGCTGGGCATATGGATCCTGAGCAATTGTTCTTGAAAGAGCTCCAGAATAATCACCCTGATTTCGCAATACTCTTTGTGGATGGGCAAAAGTATCCTTTATTGCTGAGTGGGAAGCCAACTGAGACTGGCTGTAAGAATCATTAGATGGATTGTGTGCAAAACTATCTACAGGCTTTGGTGTCAAAAGAGGCCTTTCATAAGGATCCACAGCTACTCTCCTTGAAGTAGGTGACATTTTTGTGTAAGAATCTTGCGAAGATGGATTTGGGCACGCTGGTGTTTTAAATGGGCTGGAATGCCCTTCAATAACAGATGTTGAAGTCAATGAAGGCCGTGAACATGAATCAGTAGAAGAGATCCGGGGTCTCTGAAAAGTATCACCGCCTGTTCTTGGAGGTAGCTTAGCAAATTGGTCACTGCTTGCCTGTTGTTCTGACATTAAAGGTGATCTTGACATCCCCAAAGGTTTAGAGAACTGTTCTGTTCCAATTACAGGTCTTGGTGTATCTGGAGGTTTTGCATAAGGATCACTGGTGCCTGGGGACAAGGAACACGAATCTCTGGCTGGTGATGGCCTCCTTCCCATTGATTCAGAAACTTGAGTTGGCCTGGATATTGAAGGCAGTGGACAGATCTCTGCTGGCGTAGCAGAATTTCTCCTGACAAATTTTTGATTTTGGTTAACAGGTGGTGGCCTGGGAGTTCCCACCATCTTTGCATATGGGTCAATCGGAGAAGGTGGCTGAGCAGAGGGGGAAGAAGAGAATGTTTGTTGTGATGGAGTCTGACAATGACCATCTTGAGCAGACATTCGATTAGCCGTCACAGGTGGAGGTGGGGCTTGGGGTTTTAGGAAAACATCAGAAGGAGTAGATGTAGAAGGGCCAGGCAACGGTTTTGCATATAATCCTTGCTGTGCAGGAGACATATTTCCATTGCTGGCCTGAGGGGTTAAAGGACTTTGCATCCCATTGCTAGGGGTATCTGAGCCTGGCTGGTTTACAAGCTGCTGTGATCCTAGTTGTTGCTGCTGCAGCTGCTCATTTTTCACTTGCTCAAGTTTCTGAGTTGCTTCAATTTTAGCTTGCTGTTTACTCTTTTGACGCATTTGCTGTTTTAGAAAATGAAAAAAAAAGTTAAAATTAAATAAAAACAAAGTAGTAAACCCACAGGCACATTTTAGTATTCTTTTTACACATATACAGACACACCCAGAGCACAGAAACCAATGGCAAAGCTTTAATTATTTTTTTTCATAAAGTCCCAACTGAAGTTATTAAAAGTAGATATCTTTGAATACCAGAAGATTATATTAAAAGTGAACATGACAGTTAAATGCTATTAAAAATGATTTCAAAAGCCCTATCTAAAGTTTCACCCAAGCCACCCAACACTTTTTGGAGATCTCCCATTCAAATCTTGCTTTATGTGCAATTTTGTTTCTAAAGGTGGATGCAAACATAACTGCAGGGCATGCAACACTCCCTGACACCCCCAAAAAGGTAAGTTCAGCTTCATCTGATTATTGTGAAGTTTGAATTCAATGCTGTAAAACAAAATAAAACCCTCCCCTGAAGAGTTGCATCCTGTAAACTTCCCAATGGAAGAGACTAGAAATTCTGCAATATGCAATTGTAACAATATGGAAATAAACAATTCAGACAGCTTCTATTAACCTCTAAACTAGCCTGTGTTGTCAGCATCTGCCATATTCCTCTAATGCCTATCACGTCTAAAAACATTACATATTTCATTACTTCCTTCTGCACCTATAATGAATCTTTACTGAAGACAGATATATGAATTCTGAGTTACTCAACCTTACATGATATGGGATTTCTGTTTGGAAACATGAACTTGTTTCAATTTATTTAACGTTCTATTTATGATACAAAAGCCACATCACATTTAGGCAGCCCATACCTACTGAACAGGGGCATAAAAATAAACTTCCATACCCTGCAGCTCCTAGACAAGCAGGAGATCAAACAGCAAATGCAACATACCTGCCTAAATTTCCATTCTTGCTCATGTTCAGATTCTCTCTGTTTTAATGGATCCTTGAAGAGTTCAGTTTCAATACGAGATCCAGGATCAATATTATCCTGCTGTTGCTGCCTCTTCATTGAATCATTGGACATCTGTACTTTGTTAATCCGTAAAGCAGCCCTATTATCTCTGGCTTTTTGCTATTTAAAAAACAAAAACAGAATTTACTTGGATACTGATTCATAAATAATTCATTTATTTATTTATCATTATCTCACAAATACTTAAACTGTATTTATTTGATTTAAAAATGTGTGCATGATTTAGTAAGTAACAAGGGAAATATTTATTTCACTAGACAAATACATAGTAGTTATATTTATGCAGACCCAGATGAAGGACAAAGTTGCCATCAACAAGAACAAACCAATAAATATTGAAATAGTAAAGGAGTATTTTTAATCAAGCCACATTTGAAACAGAAAATGAAATTCAGGAAATGTGGCCCTGCTGCATTCTAAGCCACAAGCAGGGTTTTTTATAATTTCCAAAAGTCTTAAGCACTTATTTCTAACTAAGATTCTTCCAACTGCATCTCCAGATGATCAAATCAATCAGGCTGTTATCAAAAATTGTATGTAAATTCCATATTAAAGTATTTTATAAAATGTTGCACAAAGCATTCACAAAATATGAACAACAACAAACCTTGAATGGCCTAAAAAGCAGATTTGGGAAATCAAAAAGCAGTGAGTACTGAGGAAAGCAAGAAACCTTAGCTGCCACTGATTTATGTCCTTGAGGAATGAAAGAAGACAATGCTTATTCTTAGAATGTTTCTTCAAATTAATCTATCAACTTGGCACTTCCAAAGTTGGGAACATGTAATGGAGAGTGAGATTTGAATAAAAAGGGTCTTCAAGGGTTCAGGCACTTATGTGTTTCTTGTTCTGCCTCTTGGGCAATCAAGGGGTCCAAGAAGTATGGGTTATTCATGTATCAAATCTTATTGTTGTTAGTCACACACCACTTTAAAGAAATCTAGACAGATCCATAAAGAAAGCCTTGCTCTCAGTCTGATCCAGTTGGACCTCTTGGATAGGAGTGGATCAGAAAGAGAGAAGAAGCCTAAACAAAAAGAAAAAAAAATCCATAAAATCAATTAAAATTCAGTGAATTATCATGGATCGTTGTGTAATCCACAGAGAAATCTCAAAAAATGCCTATTGAACAAGTTGGTTTTGCTGCAGAAACAATATGCTTTTTAGCAATTCACAGTTTAAACTAATTTTTAGACTAATTAACAGAAGCTGTAGGTAATGGGAAAATGTGTTTTCAGCAAAATGGAAAGGTTCATTACCACATATGGAGCTCTTTCTTGAGAGCTTGCTTTTCTCCATAGCTTGGCAATCTGCTTGACTCTGGTTGTCCAATCTGAGAACATGGAGAAGAGAAAGAAGACAGATGCATTCATCGGTACTAGATGTTAGTGACACATTTTGGAATATTATCTGAGTCATACGATATGTTAAAAAAATTAGAATACTCTGAAACAAAGTAGAGAGCCAACAGCCCTGCAAAAATTAAGTTTAAGTTAATAGCTTACCTGGAAACTCTTCTTTTAGGGTTGGAAAATTAATATTTGTGTATAAAACAGGTGCTACTGTTGCCATTTCACCAAGTGCTTCCTCTTTTTCCCATTTCAGAGTGCTCCTCTGTGCATTAGACATGGTATCATTTTCTCCTTCCAAAGGAGTTGCAGATGCAACCCAAGGATTGGTAGGATCATTTATCACTGCATTAAATACTGTGTTTTTATCTCTAAAATCATCACACACAAAAAAAGCATAGATATAAATTTTTTTATAAGACCTACACTGTCCCAAACCTTGTATTTTAAAATTACTAACAGTACTGGCACCCCTATGTTCTGGTTTCAGGGAGAAATTAAGGAGCCCAACCTTTTAATTTAATTCCATGTTAATGTAACTTCTTGCTGGTTGTGAGTTAAAAAAACATATTTTACCCTGTCATTATTATTTTTATAAATAGTTCAGGCCAGTGAACATATATAATGTCCCTTCCTCCTCTTGTTTTCCCCACAATAGTCATCATGTGAAGTGGGTTGGGCTGAAAGAGAGGAACTAGTTCAAAGTCACCCAAGTAGCTTTCATACCTAAGGCTGGACCAGATTTTTTAAAAAATACCTGATCTTTTAAATTTACTAACCTGGTATCGGCATAGGGTGCCTGTGTTATAGTAGAGAACGTTCCTAATCCACCTCCAGGCACTAAGGGTGTATGAGAGAGATGGGGAGTTTGTCCAATCAGGCCATTCATAAGTGGAACCCTTGAAAATGCATTCTCCCCTTGGAAGAAAAAAGTGGAAAAATAAAATTAATAACAACTACTTCAAGACCAATTTGTTGCTGGCAAGAAAACACAACAAGGTATAATTACAACATTTAGCTATACTTCCTGTTTTAGAATATTTCACATCCATTAGGCTAGTAAACCTCTGGTTCATGATTTCATAGAATTAGACTAAAGATTTAAAGGAACTATATATCTATCTAAGGCATAGTAGCAAATTCTTCTTCTTCTTCTTCTTGTGCCATATCCGTTATTGGACGTTGGCGATCCTGTTTTTATCAGCAGCCGCACGAAAAAGTGCTGCTGAGTTTTGTCCAAACCAGTCCCTTAGATTTTGAAGCCACGATGTTCTTCTTCTGCCTGGACCTCGTTTGCCTTCAATCTTTCCCTGGAGGATTAAATGGAGTATGCCGTATTTTTCTGGGTGTCGCATCACATGTCCGAAATATTCTAATT